GCGCGGGGTGGGCTGGGGACACGCACCACGTTAGGGGAAAATGTTAACGTGGGTCAGTGTGTTGGGGCAGATGTTCAGCGGGGGTCACCGTGTCTGCCCCCTTCTTCCTCTTCCTAGGGGTCTTCCACCTGCAGCAGGGGGACCGCCTGAGCCTGCGAATCCCACGCTTCAACGCCTCCTTCGACATCTCCGCTCACGGGACCTTCCTGGGAGTGCTCCGTCTATAGACCGCCGGGCATCTTCGCGGCCCCCGCCCCGCCCCACCCCAGGAAGGATCCCCACGGGGCTCGGGGTGGGAGCCCCGCTCTAAATCCTAAGGGTGCTGCTTCCTTCCGGCTCGCGGTTACGTAGGGCGGACTCGAGGAAGCTGGGCGCTCGGATGCAGAAAGAGGCGGTCTGCAGCCGACGGTTTGCTCCTGGCGGAGCCCAGATTTCTCGGCCGAAAAGCAGTGCGAAAAGGTCTAGGCCACGCCGGCTCGCTCTTCCGGACCCCTCCGGGGATCCCTCAGCTGGGAGACCCCAAGACTTTGCACGATCGAAGCAGCCGCCAGACGTTTTCGTGCCTTTTGGAATGACATTTGCAAACGGTCTCGCCGGGTCTTCTGAAAACAGAACGGCTTGGCTGGGGAATTCTGGGAGTTGAAGTCCACACGTCTTCCAGCCGCCAAGGGTGAGAAGCCCCGGGCTAGCCCCTGATTAGTTGAATCCTCTGTTCTTCTGCAGGTGGACGAAAGAAAGCCGGGGAGCCCTTGCAACTCCCTTGCTCAAAGCGCTCTTCTGAATGCCACGCCAGACCCCGCGCCACCTTTCCCAGGAGCCGTCCTTTCGGCTGCAGCCCGTCCTGGCTGAGGACTCCTCCCAAATGCCTGGAGGAGCAACAGGTCAGGGGCAGCTGGCGTAGCGGCGTGACTGCGATGCACCACGTCTTGCAAGAACCCAGGTGCTTCCTGTTTGCTCTTTGGAACGGTTGCATTTTATTTGGGACCTGGGCAAAGGCTCGTGCAGAACGAAAGCACCTTTTACAAATAAAACTTCTGAGCTGGGGGCAGCTGACAGGTTGCATGGTTCGAGCAAAGAGGCTGGATCACACGTAACTTGCATGCAGGGAAATCAGTGGGGCTTTCATGAGGCTCAGGGGCATCTGTGGGCTAATTGCAAGAGGCAAGGCGGGATCCAACCGGCGGGCTGCTGGTAATGAGGCAGAAAACTCGAGATTTTGCAGCTTGATAGTAATGCTGCAGGCAGAAAACAGGTCTGCATTATTAGCTCTTCATGCCCCGGGACGAGATGCGGGGAGGTCTCGCGATATTTCATCGGTGGGGAGGCTGAGCTCTCGCGGGATTCAAGGGGGAAAAGGGCAAAGTAATAGAAACGTAGAGATAGGAATAGTGTAGATAGAATCGTTCTTTCTCTCCTTTGTAGATTAACTTCCGGGTTCCATGCGACTGTTTCTGTTTTTCCCGGGAAAATGTGTGAACGATCCCGGAACAAAGCCAGGATTTTGACCTGGCTGTAATTAAAGGCGGGGGTGGGGTGGAGGGCAGGCAACGATGTTCTTTCTCTGGAGAGCCTTAATTTACCTGGAAAATGACACTTGGCACCAGAAAGAGTTTCACCAAATCTCACACCAGCACGATTTGGTCGGCCGCATTTTGCTGCGTTGCAGGACGCAGAAGCGGGTTTGGGGTTGCAGCAATGGGGGCGGCCCCCAGAGGGCACCAACGAGAGGCAAAACCCCTCGTGTGCTGCCCCCTAGTGGTGGCCCTGTTTTTTTCCAGTCCTGTTCTGGGGGCCCTAAATCCAGGTTGAGCCTGGAGCTCAATAGGGTGGCTGGGACTGAGGGGGGGTTAGATTTCCAGCCCCAAAATTCTAGCCAGTTGCTCCCCCTTCCTAACTTGCTTAGTCCCAGACCTCGAGCCAGCATTTCTCAACCTTGGCCGCTAGAAGATGCGTGGACTTCAACTCCCAGTTGGCTGGGGAATTCTGGGAGTTGA